TTTTATGATATATATATATCCAACTGCCTTTAATAATGGATATTTTAGAATGGACACATTCAATATAGTACTCTATGTTGAATTGAATGTAGCATTTTGTTATGTAACACATGTATGTGGAGAGAATCTACTAGCATATGCTACACTGTATATCAGTCCCTCAATACTGGAAGGGTGTCGTTATATGAATTATGTTTGTGCATACATGTACATGCATATTCTCTCAACTGTGATACATGTATATTATACCACTGTTATGATTTCATTTTTGAAATTATCATTCAACATTCAAAATATACATGCAACATAGAGACAAATTGATTTAAAATCTGTGTTCACCTTTTTTCATTGTCGCTTTGAATAATGAGTGTCAAATTTGATAAGATGCAGACAAGCCTATTTCTTATGCAGATACTGGCAGTGAAGTCTCGCACAACACTGCCTAGAGTATTTTGGGAATGAACAAACACTGAAATGTTTGTTTGTTTGTATTTTGATTGTCGCCATAATTGTTTATAAGAATTTAACTCAAATTGTCTTGAAAATCACTGGTGCCAAAGGTGTGCTAATGCATGGTAATCCTTATTGCACTAACGAGGAAACTGTCCTCCTTGTTATGTTCAGCAAATAAACTCTCTGATCTATATACAAACAGCGGCGATCATCCTGGTACATTTGTACCTTTGATCTAAGCTTGGCTATGACTCCTTTCTTCTTTTACCTCCATGGTTGGAGCATGGTTCATGAAAAGATGCCAAAATTATGCACCAAATACATTGTGCACAGTAAATTTTGACCAACAAAAGTATGCAATATAACGTTTTATAAAAAAAAATTCTTGTTTTTCCCCCTCTCGTTACCTTTAAGCTAATTACTGGTTGCCAAGAAGAAGCTAATTGATAGTTATCAAAGAAAAATAACGCCATGATTTTTAAAAAAAATTAATGAAAAAAGATGCAAATGAAGGTGCAGTTATCAGTATCAGGTAATGTTTTGGACAAAATTAAATATGGCTGGCACCAAATTAAACGAAACTGATTACACATAGATAATGTATCACTAACTAACCAGTTCACATTTTATTGACCTAAGCACATCTCTAGAAATAATCCATGAATCTCAACTAGCTAGATTTCACCTATCCTAAGAAATATAGGAGAGCTTCAGATTAACTTTGTTAAATAATTTACCAGACATATTTTTTAGGGTAATTTGATGTTATGTCTGATGATATGTATGTCTGTCTGTCTGTTTGTAGGTAGGGGCGACGCAGGCCTGTTTTCTAGCAAAGAGAGGATTTGAAGTAGATCTTTATGAAGCAAGAGAAGGTATATTTATAACTTTTCTGAATGTCTGTGTACATGTAGGTACATATTCCTAATATAAGTATGATTGTACATGGATCTGTTACTAATATGTCCCACTAACTGTAGCATTCGTTATTACAGATATCCGAATTCAAGAAATTGTAAAAGGAAGAAGTATCAATTTAGCTTTTTCTCTGCGAGGGAGAACGGCTCTATCCCATATTGGTGTCAAGGATAAGGTATGTAAATACCTAAAAACTGAAATCACTAATTCCTGTTTGAGTTGATGTTTCGATCCTTGCGAGTAAATCAGGGAAGTACCAAATAAACACTTCTATGTTGATACATTTTTTAGCTCTGCTATCCTCAAAGATATCAGGCAGGGCTGTCGCTCCACATCAACTTTTTTTTCCTGAAAACTGTTAAATCTATACACAAGTTCCTTGGGTGAACATCTTATGAGGTTTAATCGTTTTATAATGATATCTTCAATTCTCCATTTTTAATGAATAGTTTTGTAATTTTTGTTCACAAATTATATTTTCTACTTCTTCTTTAAAAGTTCTACTCCAATTGGTTTGATACATCATTTTCTGGCTAGAAATACGTGAACTGGCTCTTTGTACCACTTGAATATAACTAATTATTTAGCTTCAAACTGGAGGGGGACTTGTTATTGTCAATGACTCACAACATAAATGTAACTACAGCTATATGGCAAATAAAAAGTGCTTTAAGGGGTTAGCATACGTTTAATGTGTTTTTTTTCAATATTTTTTTTTATTTTAAATTATAGTTGGTTATGACAGTGTCTATGACTGTGCTTTTATTCTAAACAAAAACTCCATTTTAAAAGGCATATTTCGACGTTTTTTTCTATTTCAAAACATTGCCACGTGTGATTGTTTATAAACACCACCAACACAAGCACAACACTCGCGTGAAAGTAATCCTAATTGACGCTTGATGAAAGATCCGATTTGCATATCAATACTACAAAGTTTATGTAATTACGGTACTCATTTCGCCTAGCCTTCCGCTTTTACACCCACAGCTTATTGCTTGATTTCCGATTGCGCTGTCTTGTCCGACCGGAAACCGACAGCATTTTAATAGCTCTTGTTTTCGCTCGCTCGCTCATTGAAAACATTGACTGCTCGCCAAAACACTGATCACACATGAGTAGTCGAAATGGTGGCTGTTCAAATCTAATAGTTGCATGACATCGTCAAAGCAATTAAACTGGGACCTCTTGTTACGTGTTTTCGGTGCTTGCCTTGTTCTAAATGTAATATTTTATTTTAATGAGACAGTTACGTGAAAAGTAGCCTGACAAGTTGG